CTTTCAGCTTTTTCTTCTTGCAATTCAGTTCCTCTTGTATCTCTAGCAACGATTTCCCTTTAGTTTCTGGGACCATGAAGAATATAAAGACGATTCCAAGAAAACAGCTAACAGCGAACCAACCGAAAGAGGTATAAATACCGCAAGAATCGGAAATGACTTGATACATTTTTGAAACAAAGAACGCCAATAAGGATGCCCACATGTTTGCTATAGATATTGCAGCTCCCTTTACGTTAGTCGGGAAAAGTTCTCCAAGCATCATGTAGGCCAATGGATTCAAACCTAACGCGATAATGAGTTCGTAAAATATGACAGAGGCATGAAGAACCCAACCAAAACCGGTCATGTTTATCGACATGTAGTGTTTTAACAGGTAAAACGCTCCAGCGACAGTTAAGGACAATCCACCGAGTAAAGTAGTGACGAGAAGCAGTGGCCTCCTTCCTAATTTGTCTACCAAAGCTGCTGCACCGACACCAGCTATCAACTGAAGAACACTTAAAACGATCACCGCTATTCCAGCGGATAAACCTGTATCGGCCTCCGCGAGAATTTCTTGAGTATACGCTTCTATAGCGCCTAAACCACTGAATTGCAGAACTAGCTGAAGACCAAAGCTGATCGCTACAGCTCTTCTGTTACCTGGAGTGTCGAACAGATCCCAAATGTGTCCCTTGTCGCTGAGATCGCGGATCACGGTCTTTTGTATCTGTTCTATGTCTTCCTCCAACTGGTCTTCCGTTGCGTATCTCTTCAGACACTTCAAACTGTTCATCGCTTTATCCTCGTGGTTTCTCATCAACAAATAATAAGGAGATTCTGGCATCAAACTAAACGTCAGGAAGAAGATTACGGGGATTATGACGCAGCTGTAGGCCAGATACTCGTACGACACGAAGGGGCCAACTGCGTGAGCGTATAATTCGCCGAAAGTTACCATTAATTTGATGAAAGATCCCAGGGATCCTCGGATCTCTTTGTCGGCGATTTCACCGATGTACATGGGGCAAATGACGTAAGCTATGCCAAGTCCTATGCCAGCGATGAATCTTGAAATGTAGAGAACATAGGGACTCCAAGCTACGATGATTAAAATCCAACTAATAGTCAGTGGTATACCCGCTAATAGGAGGCATGTTTTACGCCCCAGTCGATCTACGATGAGGCCCGCGATGATATTGCCAGGTATCGAGCCGAGGAGGACGAACGAAGCGATCCACGAGGCATCGTCCGAGGTTATTGGCACAAGGGACTCTGGAGACTTTAATTTTGGTAGTATCGGTGATGTCCAGCCTATATGAGAACCGGAAGTTGCCATAGATAAGGTGGCTAAGGAAAAAATAAGAACGTAAAAATAAAACAAATAATCGTGGCAAATTTGTAACTTATTGTTAGTCAACTAATCTCATATAAGATCGATATTGTTACTTTTCAAATTGTTTCTCATTAAATTGTTTGACATTAAATAATGATCATCAGATGTGGACCAATTAAACAATGATCACTTTGAAGTACAATTAAGCAAAGGAAAGAAGAATTGGAAAAATGTTCATTATTAGAAATGGAATTGTAAAACCCGTCCCGCAATAAAGGTATCTAAATAAAAGAATCTACATTTCGATCTTGATTTTTTATTTTCATCTGTTTCTGTGAGATGAAAATAATCCTGAAACTTAAAGGTGTTATCTTGTTAATCTTTCTTCGATGAAAATGATACGTACGAATA